CTGTGAAACCACCATCCCGCCTGAAATGGACAAATAAGAAGCATAAATAACCTTAGTCTGTATAAGATGAGACTAAATGTTGATATTCAACATACAGTGTTATATGATTTTATGCAAAACAGTGTTGGAATACTGGCTCAGATATTTCTGTATGTTGTTAAAGTGTGAAGAAAGGAGTTTGATCTAATTTGACTTGATGTTGTTTAATACGTTAGGTGTACTTTCTTTGCACGCATATAATTGTGGGCTTCATCTCGTGTGTGTGTGTGTGTGTGTGTGTGTGTGTGTGTGTGTGTGTGTGTGTGTGTGTGTGTGTGTGTGTATGTGTGTGTGTGTGTGTGTGTGTGTGTACCATGCTGCTGCACTCCTCATCCACAGTGTTTCAGAGTGGTCCAGGAAGGCTGCCTTGCTGCTGCTTTCTGTGCGACAGTGGAGCTTCAGAGACTCTCGGGGGAAATACAAACTCAGAGGACTCGACTCCTGAAGAAGACACAACCATGAAGCTTTTACCAGGCAAGTACGAAAACACAAGTAGTGACAGGTGAGAGAATATCATTACATGTAACTCTTCAATGTGTACTGTGTATAACTACTCTAAATGTGCCCAATGCTGTGAGAAAAAGGTTATTTATCTTTATAATATTTGGTATACATTTGACGTCACTATGTCACATGACATGGAATATTTTGAAAAGACTAATATAATAATAATGTTGTATTATCACCAACATATGAATAATTCACTAATATGAGTGATTGGATCACATGACGTGGAAGCTATTGACAAAACATAGATAGTCTATCTTCAATTCCTGACTCAACTCAAAAGATTTCCCATAAGTTTAATTTATGTTTTTTTCAAGTACAGTATATGTAAGTATTGAAAATAACATTGGTGTTGTGTAATTCATACGAACATGTAATGATGGTCCCTGAGTGAAAGCCTGTGGTTAGGAGCTAGGCTCAGCTGTGAACTAACCTTCCTACAGTACATTGAGTGAATGTCTCAGGTTATGGGTTATGGTATATCTAAAAGGTCTCTGAAGTGACACCAACAGCTTTGAATAAGAACACATCGTGTATTTTAACGTTATTAATTCATATTCATACACAGGCTCTGAATCCGACCTGTTTGAGTCGGTCTTCCGTGGAGCCTCCTCCGGACAGCAGCTCGTTGTTGGACTCGCACAGAGTGCTCTGTCCGGCGGGCAGAGGAGCGGGGAACAGCGCCAGAGAGCACATCTTCAACACGGGGAAACCACTGGAAACACACCATGGGTCAGTCAGGTAAACACAGAAAAGTGGATGATATTTTCTATTCTTAACAGCAGACTGTGGCAAACAAATAGCTAGCTACCTTACACTAACAGTTAAAGTTAGCTAGCTGGCTCAAGCTAACCTAACTAGTTTGATATCGGCCTCGTTATGACAACAGAAACCGTAGCTCTTCGTTTTATATGTGCTAGAAGTTACCTTGTATTGTGTCCTGCGTAGTGTGGTCAATTATAGTCCTTTGTGTTTCCAAACAACAAGATAAAAGTGCATGCTGAGTTGTTGTGACACTTTTTTAGGTTGCTTTTTCAGTTAATCGCGCCGTGTGGACTACAGCAAGCGAGAGGGACAAACAGCGCGGAGTTCGGCTACAGAGCGACGCTATGCTGCCCTCTTCAGGGCAGGACACAGAGCGACATGACAACTGCACTTTACCAAAACACACACCAAAGGTTTTTTTAAAGAGTTGAGATGACACCAACAGTCCTTTTACTTAACTGAAAAATAGTTTTAATCAACAAAAATGTTTCCGGTAATGTATTTCCTCCATATAAACCGTTTATTAACTTGTCCACATTAACTAAACTAAATTAGTTATGATGTGTGATTAAATAAACACAATAATAATGCTGTCATTATCAAAATCATCTTGACCAACTATGTTTACGTATAATATTAGACATGTGATAGACATGCACCCCTGCGTACATTTAGAGTAAAGGGACGAGACAATCCTTGGTTTTCTGCTGAGCTGTCTAGTCTCCTTCATGAGAGAAGCACGGCCTGGGCAAAGGCTAGGCAATCAGGCTCAGAGGTAGAGTGGCTGCGTTTTAGGCAGCTAAGGAATAGCTTCACTTCAAATGTCAAAAGTGCAAAGTCGAAGTATTATTTGTCAGTTACCACAGAAAACCTAAATAATCCTAGGAAATTTTGGAAAGCAATAAAATCGATATCCACCGGTGAGATCCGTAATGAGCTACCTCCGTGCCTTACCACAGCATCTGGCACTATATCGGACAGGGCCACTATGTTAAATTGCTTTAATGAGTATTTTGTGTCCTGCGGTTCTATGTTTGATTCTGTGACTAACTCTGCTTCTGTGAACACCCCAATCCGTGACTCTGAACAATGTGGTCTGGAAAACCCTTTCAGTTTTACTCCTTTTACTGTCAATGTTGTTCATGAAGCCTTATCTAAGCTAGATCCTAAGAAACCGGCTGGCCCGGACAACGTAGAACCTTTCTTTTTAAAGATAGCTGCAGATTTTATTGCTCTTCCTCTTACTACTCTTTTGAACCTCTCCCTCAGCACAAATGCAATTCCAAAAGTATGGAAGTCAGCTTATGTCTTGCCTTTACTAAAAGGAGGGGAGGCAACTATTTTAAATAACTATAGGCCAATCTCTAAATTGTCAGTTCTGGCGAAGGTGCTCGAACGCCTAGTGAGTGAACAGGTAAAGGAGTTTTTATGTAAAAATGACATCCTGTCTAAACATCAGTCAGGCTTCAGAAAGCAACATAGCACCATCACTGCCACAATGAAAGTGGTGAATGATATTACGAGTATTTTAGACAATAAGCAGAGTTGTGCAGCTCTATTTATTGACCTTTCCAAAGCGTTTGATACCATCGATCATCACATCTTAAAGCAGAGGCTACTCAGTATCGGCATATCCAGCCATGCAGTGGGTTGGTTTGTGAACTACCTCTCTGAAAGGTCCCAATGTGTTCACTTTGATGGGCTGTCTTCTGAGTGGTTAAACATTGCTAATGGTGTTCCTCAAGGTTCTGTTTTAGGTCCACTTTTATTCTCCATATATATCAACAGTTTAGGTGAAAATGTGGATGAAGCTACTTTACATTTTTATGCTGATGATACCGTGATGTATTGTGCAGGTCCCTCCATTAAGGAGGCTGGTGTTAAATTACAGGCTGTTTTTAACATTATTCAGACTCAGCTTGGTGAACTTAAGCTTATTTTAAATGTTGATAAAACCAAGGTAATGCTATTTTCAAAAGCTAAAAAGACACCAGAGCCTGTTTTGGATATTGTTACTATGCAAGGACAAGTACTTGAAGTGGTTACCAGTTATAAATACCTAGGTATCTGGCTTGATGATTGTCTTACTTTTAAACTTCATGTCAATAACCTGCTAGATGCCGCCTATCACAGTGCCCTGAGATTAGTTACTAACTGTAAAGCACTTACTCATCACTGTACCCTGTATGCCAAGGCAGGTCTGCCTTCACTAACTGTACGGAGGCTCAGTCATTGGTACATGTTCATTTACAAAGCCATGTTGGGTAAACTACCTTTTTATATCTGCTCTCTGATCTCTCGACGAATTGAAAGTACATATTGCCTGAGATCTCATGATGTTGTTTTATTAAATGTGCCAAGTGCTAGGACTGTCTTAGGGAAGAAAGCTTTTAGTTGTGCAGCTCCACTAAATTAGAACAGTCTGCAAACATGTTTAAAACTGAGCACTTTGGTTCCCCCGCATCATTTTAAAACTCAGCTGGGTGACATGCTGTTTGATACTCATGGTACCTGTCTCTGTAAAAAGAGTTTGTAAACTGTACCCTGTACATTATGTTGTATGTCATCCTTATTGTTGTTCTGTTGTTTTTATGTTACATGTGTAACTAATGTCCTGCAGGTCACCCTTGAAAAAGGGATCTTTTGATCTCAAGGGGCTTTCACCTGGTTAAATAAAGGCTACAAATAAAAAAATGTATGGCAATGCTTTAAGAGTCCTTTCTTGTACATAAAATAGACAAAACTGCTGGGAACAAGGGAAACAAACCTAAATAAAGGTCAGGAACAGACAAGTCTACCATGTACACAAGTATTTGGAAAAAATAGGCATAAACCTAAACGTATGTGAATATTATATAAACTACTGTAAAAAGCACAAATGCCCTACAATTAAATAAAATGGAAAATGTCTGTTGTGTAAACAACAGAAAGACACTGAAAGCACATTCATGGTATTACTTATTACGTACAGATTACTTAGCAAGTAGGATTTATTTTCACAGTAAGAGATTATATTTATACAAATGTATTCATTTAAAAACTGTAATATTATAATTTGAGCAGGGGATGTTTTAGCGTTACAGGGTTTTTAATGGGCATTTCCCTCCCCTTCACCAGGGAAGGGCAAAGCAAATGGACAGTTGCACCCCAGCCTCCCTGGAGCGAGCTGGCAGGGATCCAGTGTGTCTTGCTCAAGGACACATCAGCAGCAACAGCAGGGTGGATGCTGGCTGACACATTGTAAGATAAGAGATCAGATCAGATAAGTGACTGTATTATCATCCATCTATACAGAGTGCAGTACAGTAAATAGAGGGAAACAATTGTGTTCCCCTGGTTTCATTGCAAAACAAAAGAATGAACAAATCAGGTGGAAACAACACAATACTAAAGCAGGCACATAATAAGATACAAAACAATGTTCAATAATTCATGTATGTGTCACAATTACAGAACAATATAGATAGCCAATTTAAATAAAGGTGTTATTAAATGTAAACAAATAGCATCATACTGGTTAACGCTCAAATTAAAATAATGGATGTTATGATGAAAAACTGAAGCCGCGTGCATGTGTGTTTCTGTGTCTGTGTTTGTGCGCGCACGTGTATTTGCAGAGGGTGGTGGGAGCGCCCCCTCGCGGCGCAACTTGCATTTCCGTGACGTCAATTCAGCACTGGGAAAGAGACAGCTCCCTCCCCCCCAAAAAACCCAGCGCGCCTCACGTTGCATGGGTCCTCGGTTATTGATAACACAATTTGCCCGGTGGGATCCATCCCGGTTGTGTGAAACGCGTGGATACAGGGACTGGAGATACAACAGCCAGCGCGCACCGAGGGAAAAACAACAATCTACTCATTTACACCGACAAATAGAAAGCCGAGTACACCCCTTCACTTGACAACGCGACATCAAGCAGGCAAAAAGGTATGGGAATGTCATACTATACGGTTAAATGCTGGTGTAATAAGAAATCATGGATCACAGGACGTTAAGTTATGATGCTCGGTGCGGTGGCGTTCACGCCGCTCACACTGCACCACTGAACCGATGCTGCCAAGAAAGGAATCATCGTCTATGGTTGCTAGAAAATCATATTTGTGCAGCAAGAAAGCCCACATTGCGAAATATTTGTGTTTGTGCCAACGTTAAGTAAACGCTGAGACGCTGCGGCAGTTTCACTTGGCATGGACTATAGTATAGCATAGGGCTCATGCACGTCGGTTATGATGCTGCTGAGTGTCATCATCACATCCTCGGTTATTTAAAGATTGATCTTCCTGCGTTTGTGTGTGTGTGTGTGTGTGTGTGTGTGTGTGTGTGTGTGTGTGTGTGTGTGTGTGTGTGTGTGTGTGTGTGTGTGTGTGTGTGTGTGTGTGTGTGTGTGTGTGTGTGTGTGTGTTTGTGTGAGAGAAAGCACTGCTCCTTTGCACAGGCCTGCTGGTTGTTTATTGCCCATTTTTTCCACACTTTCATTTCGCTCGGTCGTCATGGCTCTTCTCGTGCAGTGGTGCAGTACAAGAAAGGGAGCTGGTGTGAGATATGTGAATTGGGTACATGTGCTCTCTCTCCTTGTCGCTCTCTCACACACTTGCAGGCACTCACGCACGTACGACGTACGTACACATCCACACTGAGGTGGTTATGCAATTCGTCATATTCTTCAGATGCACACAATGCTCTTTACTTGATGCACGAAATATGGAGCTGCAGAGTATAGCTTTGCTCAGATGTTGTCAGATACTGATGTTAAATCACAGGTGATGGACTGTGTGCTGCACAACCTCCTCTGGTAGATTCATTCATAAACCTCCTACTCCACTCTGGCTGATGGCTCCACTGGGCATGATGGCTTTTCCATTCACAGAGAAAGAGGTTTTACTGCAGGATTCAGACAGAATCTGGATGTGGTTAAACTGGCTGGATGCCCAACTCACTGCACGACTCCACTCATTGATTGCTGTGCATAGTTTGAATAAAAGTAAAGTTAGTGTGAACGCCAGTCATTTCTTAAAAGATCAAAGGAGACAGTAGAAGTGAGGGAGCAGCAGCACTGGCCAGCTCCAGCTGCATTGTGGAGCTGACCGGTGCTGACTAATAGACAGTTTTAAATCTAATAAGCAGTCAGCATTCACAAACTTAATATAACATATGATTATACTGACAATTATTAATTGGGGATGAAGATCTCTTATTTAAGTCAAATGCCCTTAAATACTAATAGCAAAAGTAATCATACTTAGGCCTATTTCAGAATAATATATACTTCATTTTTTTTTTTTTTACTACATATGATTCCAGGTAGCTTGTGAATGTCACAGAGGTTTTAAAAAGTGTTAGCTTAACCTCTAATAATGCGTATTTGTTGACTACATTTTGTATTGTTGATCTGAATCTTCAAGTGACCCAAAATGTAAAATCAAAGGGCTGGAGTATAAAGTAACATTTTTGCCAGATGTAGTGGAAGTATAAAGTTACATGGAAAACTTAAACGTATATACTAGTATAAATCATCCTAATGTTATCATAAATCTTCTCCTCCAGGCGAACGTCTCATCTTTCCATCCTCCACCCTAACCTGCCGTGTTGGGGATACCCCTAATGAGTGGGACCTGTATCCATGAGCCCCGCGCCCCTTCCCCCTCCCTGTCAGGCTTCAGCACCCCCATCTCAGAGCCCTCCTATCGAAGAATCGATGGAGACACCGCTGCCTGCACCCCCGAAACGGACCTGACGCCCACACAGTGTGTCATCCGCAACCTGCTGTCCATCGACACCGGTGGACCGGGGGCTCCGGGCGGCAGCAGCCCCACCCCCAGTGATGGACCCTCAGCCTACTTTGACAACAGCGTGCTAAAACTACATGAACATGAGGCCTGCCAGTGTGGCGGGGGGGCGGAGGCGGGCCACAGTCCAGAGGCTGGGGCTGTTCGGAGCCAGTCGGATAACATTCGGCTGCAATCAGGAAGCGGAGGTTTTTTGGAGGGACTGTTTGGATGCCTTAAGCCGGTCTGGACCATGATTGGAAAGGCCTACTCCACTGAACACAAACACAGCCATGAAGGTATGTGACAGCAAGTGATACACTTCTGAGCTCTCTGACCCGTATGCCATGCAACAAAGACTATTTAGATTTAACATAAATTACATTGATATTTAATAGATTGTTGTTAATGCATCCATGCATGATTAGCTGGTACAGGAGGACATCATTGATCTACTTTATCAACTTGCAGTTGTATCTAGTGTGTTCCAACCTAAGGGGTTGGGCAAGCTAAGGTGAAGGGGTTGTGAGAAAATTCATGGGAACCTTTTCTGATGTTTCCCTTTCTGTTTTGTTAAATATCGGATGGCCTAACATTGGATTGTGTGTGTTGGAACAATCTGTGGACACAAGCTCGAGAGTTTAAGAGGCATTTGTTTAATCTTAAACAATATTGTCAAAGCTCATCATATGTTTTTTTTTAATATAAATCTTAAAGTCAATCAACTACAGCTGTAATAACAATGAAGTGGTGTAAAAACTACAATATTTAGATCCAAAATGTAGTGGAGTAAAAGTGTAAGGTATAGCCAAAAAAACAAATACTGAAGTAAGAGAACATACAATGTGTACTTTAGCGCAGTACTTGAGTGAATACACTTAATTTCACTAGAGGAGTGGGGGTCATTCACAGTAGCAGCTACAGTGAGTTTTCACAGCTGGCCGGATGGGGGGGGGCATCCTGTGCATCTGCCCCCACGTAGCTGCTCTCCAGATCTCGACACTTCAGTGGACCTCATGAAGAATTGATCTGCCTGTCGTCTTTATTCTGCCCATCTCTCTTCAGCGACCGCACTCACAGTCGTTTAACTCACGTCAGTGTGACGGATGACAAAAAGATTAGACTATGAGTGAGTTGTTTCTCCCTCAAATGTTCCCTCATCTCTGGACAGAAATGTAATATTCTACTGAAGAAGTTATCAGTGTAGCATTTGTTTGAACATGGCAGGCACTTCATATGATGTCATTGTGTCCTGCCAGCCCATTCTTATGTGTAGCATGGAGCTAACATTTGCTCAGCGAGCCCCCTCTCTGCCAGGAGTGCATATTGACATTTAGAGGCTTTGTAATGTCTGATGGATATGAAATAGGTAATTACTCAAAGGATGCTGCAAAGAAATTATCTCTTGCAATGCCCGTGATAATACTGTATAACACTACATGCCTTCTCTATGTATTTATTGCATTTTTTTGTGGACTTATTGGTCTGAGTTTAGAGTCCTGGGAAGTTCCCTTTGAGGAGATCTCCGACCTGCAGTGGGTGGGCAGCGGTGCTCAGGGGGCCGTCTTCCTCGGCAAGTTCCACGGAGACGACGTGGCTGTAAAGAAAGTGCGAGACATCAAAGAGACCGAGATCAAACACCTCCGCAAACTCAAGCACCCCAACATCATCACTTTCAAGTGAGGAAGAAGCACATGATATCCTACAGTATCTTTAGGCTGCATACACATCTTTCTCTGTTCACCTGGGCCATGTTATCTGACTGCCATGTTTTCCTACAGGGGCGTGTGCACCCAGGCTCCTTGTTACTGTATCTTGATGGAGTACTGCGCCCAAGGCCAGCTGTACGAGGTGCTGAGGGCGGGCCGGAAAATCGCCCCTTCCCTCATGGTGGACTGGTCCATGGGCATAGCAGGTGGCATGAACTACCTGCACCTCCACAAAATCATCCACCGAGACCTCAAGTCCCCCAAGTAAGTCTCAATCAGCCAACACAAGACCTTAAGGTTCATACAGGGATAGTTTGTCCACATGAAAACAACTGCATATAGATTTACAAGAGGCGCAGCAAGACGGGATTGCATAAAATATTTGAGACAATTTGCATTCTCTGTTTAAAGATAAACTTAAATCAAACTCCATCTCAGCAACTATTCGAGAAAGCCACAATCAGTTAATGGCTGGTGAAATATGGCTCTGTAAAACAAGTAAATTGCACTATGCTGTCCTCGGTCTGTCTGTAGTGCTGTACGCATGTTTTTTGTTGTCGGAAAAATACCCTCTTCATAAAGTACATCTTATCTTAACTCTGAAGCATTTAGAGCAATGTTTATTAATGTGCAATGTCCTTAAATAGACTAATACAATGAACTGATTTCTAGTTATTGCCATGTAAAAGGACATGCATTCCCACGTTTGCAGCATGCTGATCACACACGATGACCTGGTGAAGATCTCTGACTTCGGCACCTCGAGGGAGCTCAGGGACAAAAGCACCAAGATGTCGTTCGCCGGCACCGTTGCTTGGATGGCGCCTGAAGTCATTCGGAATGAGCCGGTGTCGGAGAAGGTGGACATCTGGTGAGCGTGATTACCAGGGACTTTGTTTCTCTCTTACAAAAACATCAGCACTTTTCTCTTGACTTGATGCAGCAATTTAGCAATTATCTATAATATGCTGCACTACAGTACGAGAGCAGTTCCTGTGTCGATATGGGGCCTTCTGTTTTTTTAGTGTTGTTTTGTATGTACATATTTGTGATTACTGTCATGACACCTATGTCTATACATACCACAGGATTTTCATCTTTCACTTAAGGCACCAAATGAACACTTAGAGTAACGTATTATCACATTATAATGCATTAGAAAAAACATTATAACTTATAACACGCACATTTATTTTTGTGATTAAGCAGCAATTATGAAGAATAATGATACTTGAACTTATAAGTTATTAAAACATGCTGTAGGTGTGTTGTGACTAGTGTTAAAAACATTATTAATATTTGATTGCTATGATAAGACAGTGCTATAAGTAGATTATAATGCATTATTTTGTTTTTTATGATGCATTATAGATAAAATAGGCGTGATAAAAGTTATGACCATAGTTCTTTCTCCGATCTCTTCTGTTAAAAAGATATTGACCTTAATGAGACTTTCGTAATTAACTTTAACTACCTTTAAAGGGATCACATTGTGCTTTTTAGGGGTTTCCCTTTCCTGTAGTGTGTGGTATACATTTGTGTGCAGGTAAATGGCTAAAACACCAGCACACTCCCCCCCTGCCTCAAATGAACCTGCAAATGAGCATAATATGTCCTCTTTAAGGTCCTTTGGAGTGGTGCTGTGGGAGATGCTGACTGGAGAGGTTCCTTACAGAGACGTGGACTCATCTGCCATCATCTGGGGAGTGGGGAACAACAGCCTGCAGCTGCCCATACCTGAGAGCTGCCCCGACGGCTTCAAGATCCTCCTCAGACAGTGCTGGTGAGTAATGCCTTGGGATGGAGGATAAGGAAAGAAAAAATAATGAGCAGAGAGGACAAGAGAGCAGAAATCGAGGATATTAGAGAAGTAAAAGCAACGTTTGAGAGTAGTTGTGTCAGTCTGTAGTTTAAGGACTTTATTGATGTTGCAGTGCATTGTAGATGTACACAGCTGTCTTTCCTGTCTGGGATTTGCAGGAACTGTAAACCCAGGAACAGGCCCTCTTTCCGTCAGATCCTTCTTCATCTTGATATAGCGTCAGCGGATGTGCTGTCCACTCCACAAGAGACGTACTTCAAGTCTCAGGTATGGTTGCTTCTTTCAAGTCTCAACACAAAAAACACATCTATAACTTGAATATACAGATGTACACATGGACCCAGACAGGCTTAAGCATTAATAAGACTTGTACAACGTGCAGTAGAGAAGAGGTTTTAAAGTCCGTTATGGTGAACCGAGGCAAGGTTCAAATCAAATCAAGTTTTATTTATATAGCACATTTATAAACGATTTTTGGTCGAGCCAAAGTGCTGTACATATAATAAAAATAGCCTACAGTAGAGACACTTTACAGCAAATACAACAGCACATATTGTTCTGAATATCAGTATGAGAAAAACGACACCCTCTGTCCTTAGACCCTCACATCGTACAAGGAAAAACTTCCAGAGAAAACCCACAGTTTAAAGGAAAAAATGGGAGAAACCTCAGGGAGAGCAACAGAGGAGGGATCCCTCTCCCAGGACGGACAGACGTGCAATAGATGCCGTGTGTAAATCGAAGAGATAATACATTTTACAGCATATAGACCGAATGTTAGGAAATGCATGTGTCTGTAATAAGAAGATGAATCCACGAGGATGTCAGCTAACAGATCTGTGCTCTCATCAGGCTGAATGGCGGGAGGAGGTGAAACAGCACTTCGAGAAGATTAAATCTGAGGGTACTTGTATCCACCGACTCGATGAGGAACTGATCAACCGACGCAGAGAAGAGCTCAGGTCTGCTTTCTTTACTCTCAAATCTTGTAGTTGTAACCAGTGATGGTACGTTTGACTAGCTAACATGCATACAGTAAGGCCACTTTCGCTGTGTCCCATTTCTCTGTGTCATTCCTTTTGTCTGCCCACGTGGATGAGATAATGGCCTTGAGTGCATGTCTATTGTGGAGCATTTGGAGTCTCTCATGCGGATGCACAATGACAGCAGCAGCCTCTTGTCTTCTCAGGCATGCTTTGGACATTCGTGAGCACTATGAGAGAAAACTGGAGAGGGCTAACAACCTTTACATGGAGCTGAGCGCCGTCATGCTGCAGCTGGAGCTGAAAGAGAAGGAGTTGCAGAAGTACAAATAAACCCATGAACACAGAGTATACATTCTTTACGAATTAATAAGCCACAGTGTGTTAAGAGTTTGTTGTCTTTTGGTATTCATTTCCAGGAGAGAGCAGTCTTTGGATAAAAAGTACCCAGGTTTGTTCAAGCATCACAGCTCCAGGCAGAGCAGCTCCTCCAACACCATGGACAAACTCATCAAGAAACGAAACGTCCCGCAGAAACTGCCCTCGGGAAAGAGGTGTGAGATCTTATTCCAGTGCTTATTTAATAAAACATTGATGCTGACATGAATATTCATCACGCTTGTGGAATGACTAATCCCTCTTACTCTTTCAGGCCAGACATTCTCAAGTCTGAGGTAATCATTCCCAAAATGGACTCCTCTGTGATGCTAGTCACCATCCCGGCGTGCCCCAACAGAAGCTCCACTTCCCCCAGCCGCTCTCGGAGGGTAAAGACCCGCCATCGCAAGCCGGGGAAGGGCAGTAGCGGGGACCTGGCTGGACTGAAGGCAAATCAGTCTAATAGGGACGCGACTGCCCAGGCTAACAGTGGCAGCACCAACACCTCCAAGCAGCTGCTGGAGCCGTCTGCAGCGCAACAGAGGCAGCTCTCCTCCTCCAGCCCCGACCTCATCTGCACCGCGCTCCAGGCGGAGGGGCAGGGGAAAGGGGAGCCCTCTGTGGGGGGGCTGGAGAGAGGGGGGAGCGTCAGTGCCTCTGCGGGGTTAGGGGGTTCCGTGGCAGGAGCCGCCGGTCTGGATGATCTCACAGAAACGCCTCCACGCAGCGACACGCCGAGCGAGGACGCAGCGTCGTTCCCCTTCTCCAGCAGCCCAGACTCTCCGTGTGGGAGGGGGGCGGGAGCAGCGAGGGGGTCTCTGGGATCTCCACGTCATGATGGGGAGGATAAAGAGGAGGGGGCTGTGAGGCTGCCCCGTGGAGCATCAGGGGGGATTGGGAGTCAGCACCTCACCCCCTCAGCCATTCTGTACAGAGCAGCTATCTCACGCAAACAGGTACCGAGCCGCCCAGCTGGTCACTTCCTCAGTGTTCCTCTGGTTATACTTTGGTCATTTTCAATTGTTCCTATTTCCTGTTTCTGACAGAGGCGTGGAGTGTCGTCCGAGGAGGAGGAGGGGGAAGTTGACAGTGAAGTTGAGTTACCACGGAGACGGTGAGTAACTTGCTGTCCTTCGTCACTGGAAAATGTCCTCGAGCAATCTTTCCTCTCTGACGGAGTTTAAGATTTATTCCAAGGACAATAATTATTTCTTATTCGCATCATTCTAACACATCATCAAATCTGTGATTCTTAAATCTTATACATATTTCTGATAATAACCAATAGACACCACAAAGTCAATGCCCAATCCTGACTATTATTAGCTCGCTTGCCATGTGTTTAACCTCCGTGTGTTTTCCTTTGTTTTGAATATCTCCAGACGTCCGACTAGCATCACCAAGGGCCAGTCGGTGTCCACCTTCAGCTCAGAGAACCTGTCGGTGTCGGATGGCGAGGAGGGCCACACTACGGACCACTCGCACAGCGGCACCCCCGACGTGGTTAGCACCAACACAGACGACAGGTTGGACGATCGCAGCGACGACCTCCAATCTCAGGGCTCAGAGATCCCGGCGGACAACACTGACGGCCTGTCGGAGAGAGACGGAGCGCTGGGACCGGCCAAAGCTCCGCTGGACGCCGGGGGGAATCCTAATGAGGTGAAGAAGCTCCACCGTGGGGAGTTGCATGTTTCTGTGTCATCCTCTGAGACTGGTGTAAAAGAACATACTCCAAAAGCCAGTGGTCGAAAATGCAAAAAGTATACTTAATTTTAACCTTGGGGCAAATGTGTACTTTGGCCTTTGACACCTTACCACAAAGTAATGGTTTCTGGTTTGGACCCTTTCTCCGATTTGAGATGTCTATAAGTTCTCAGATGGTTACATTTAAAGTACAGTTTGAGACGTAAAGATACATTATTAAGGCTGGCCCTTCTTTGTAGATCAGTCGACAAATCGGTTGTTTTGATGTTAATCAAATAACATTTCTTTAATCGATTAGTGATTTTTTTAAAGGCTTGATTCATGCTAAATTACTTTTTCAAATAAAATAATAAAATGTCTCTTTGTAAACACAATATTTAAAGCGGTGCTTGTGATGATTCTTTTCGTACGTTTAAAAAAAAATCTATTATAAAAAGGAAAAACTGGAGAAAAGTCAAAAATGGTTAACTTACCTATGCTGTCTTCTTTTTTTGTAATAAAAACCATTCATTATTTGACAACCCCCAGATTTATCTTGTGACCTCTATGTTGGGAACCACAGGACAAAACTACCTGACTGTATGTAAAGTAGATAAAGAAGATAACCCTCAACCAGAACCAACAATTCTGCTAAATGCAGGACCTGTACTTTTAATGTAGCATTGTTGGAGATTTGACACAAGTAGATGGTTTGAATTCTGCTTTACACATCTCCTGCATGACACGCCCTCTCTCTCTCCAGAGCCGGGCCCTGTGTGATGACTCTGACTGCGACAGTGCAGAGCTGGACCAGCCGGGCAGCGGAGAGCCCAGCCGCCCCCCCGGCGCTGGAGCGTGGGTGCAGCCCCCTCTGCCCTACCAGGGGTCTCCACAGGCGCCACACACAGCTCCTCCATAGATAGCTGGATGCTAGCAAAGACCTCCAGCTCCTAGTGATGCAGTACATTACTGTTGTCATGAGGAATCACACCTACTTCACCACTCAGACTATGACAAGTCGACTTATGGTGTCTCATAAGTTTGTTGGATGGCATAGGACATTTGTCATAACCTGACATCCGATATTTTGGCAGCTTGTGACATCCGATAAATGTCATTGAAGTTCAGTAGGGTTTTTGTTTTAGGCAAAATAGTTACAGAAGTAACCTTAGCCACTGCTCCGGTTCAGCAGAAACCCAACCACTGACGCACGCACAAGAAACCACACTCGTTGTCTTTTAAACACTCTAATCCTCACTCTGGGAGCATCCTCCATGATACTCCACACACTAATGCATCAAAAAACTAATGAATAATAATGTAAATATCCATTACATACCACATGAGAAATATCTAACTTTATTTTATTTGTAAGATAGAAATGTAAGACTAAATGGTATGCAGCCCTGTGAACAAATGCATGACTACGTGTTTATAATTTATGGTTTGAATGTGTCCGTTTTATATTTTGTGAAACTTTACACTTTTTTAATCCTAAGTATTACTTGAGTTTTTTTTCGTTAATAAATGTCAGCACTCAAGAAAAAAAAAAGGAATGAAAATCTCACCACGATGTCGATCACGATGCATAGTTAGGATTCTCAGTAGGTAATATATTATTTTTTTTAACCCTCGTACTACTGAGTTATAAATACATAAAAGACATGGTTGAGGTTCTTTATTAAGCTTATCTTAGTGATGGGATGGAGAACATTTGTGTCACAAAAAAATGCACTTTTGCCATTACCGGTGTAGCTTCACCGGTTTCTCAAATTGTCGGCTATTTGATTGTGTTTCTTAGTAGGGTGTGTTCATGTAATGAAATACACTAGCATTGGTAACCAAGGTACTATCTAAGCAACAAACACTGGTGCTAGTGCTTCAGTAAAGGAGACCCCTCCGATTTAGCATTGCACTCCTGTAACATTGTCAGCCTAACGAAGAACAGTTCAAGAGAAAAAGCGATCAAAATCAGTACGGCAGGACCAGAGATATTGTCTGCTTTATTCCACACATTATTATATCTGGTCAAAAACATGGCGTCTGCATTACCCACAATGCACCTCGGCCAAGAGCAGTTGTTTGGGGACTCCCTAAAGAATTGGTAGAAACCCTCTCCGTCCGAGCCGAGCTCACGTTAGTTGAGTTTTCCGGAAAAATGTATAATGCACGCTTACAATCTGAGAACAGGTTATTTTTGGTTCATGCGTTTCTATAATTTGCTATGCACATGGAAATTGAGTCACTTTAAATCCCATTTGGGCCTATTTTGATCCAAGATACATTTATCTGACTACAGAGGCCCCTCTTAAAAGATGTATCTTGTTGGACATAAAGCGGATATATATTTCAGCACTATTTAGTAATGCATATTTTCCATTACAACTTAGTGTTGTCCAATTGTGTGCAGCAAAAGTGTTTAGTCATTTAAAAATCTGCTGGAAAGTTTAGCCGTGGCGCTATGAAAGGAGCAAAAAGTGTATCTTTGTATCGATGATCACCAAAAAAAATGTCATCCATGTTTGACCTTACAATTAGGCTTGAGATCTAAAGGTTGTGTAGGTTTAATCCTGGGGTTAAGGCAACAATTTGATGAATGGAACACTTTAGGTTACTGTTTTGCTATCTTATCCAGGAGGAGAAAAGCCTATATCAACAGAATCAGGATCAAGACAGTCATGGTCACACAGCCAGTGGGATGTAAGGAACCCTTCAGGTCAAAAACACTAATGTTTTGGGATTCCCATTGGGCCAGAGTTTTGATTTGTGTTTTGCAAGTAGCAGCTAAGGTCGCCCTCCCATAGAGATGAAGCGCTGGCTACAGAGCTCTAATAAAGTCACCCATTTCTAACTCCACACCTCCAGAATACTTTTCATTTTCGAAATGGTAGTCTTCAGAGTTGTATAAAAGAAAAAGGCATTAAACAATTTAAGTGTGTCAAACCTGTGGAGTTCCCCTTTAAGTAAAGAACCAAAAGGACTCCTGTAGTTCATGATGTTCCCGTTACCCTTTAAGATGCGGAGGTAGCCAGATAAGGAATAGAGCACTTCTGTGGTGGTTACTAGTCGTAAGTAAGTATCCTTTGGGTTTAAATAGAAATGTTTTGTTTTTATACAGCATTGCACATTGTACCTGTAACATAGGAATTATATCAAAGGCAAAATATGAGCAACAATAAATGATGTATTGGTTAAAAAAAAAGTTGTGTGATGTTTATCTCCAGTAGTTTGTGCTGTTGCATCACATAAGACAGCTGAATGAGAAATAAACAACATTTTCAATGATTTTAAGCATGTCCAAAAGGTTCCCGTGTCTTTTCTTAACTTATCTTTTACACCGGGTTGTTTATAAAGAATGAAATCCCCCACGGGAAGAAGACATGTTGGATTATTAATATATCTGGAGCTTGATAACGGGGTAATGAAGGTGTCAGCTATCTTTAGAAGTAAGTAAACATCCCAACATAAAAATGAAAAAACAGATTGTTTAAGCATTTCACATCTTTTTTTTTATTTCTGCATTTCATTTCTTCAACAATTGAATTGCAACCAGATCTACAATAGTTTGAAAACGTGCACAAAAACGTGAGTTTCTTCATCCTGCAAAGAATAATAAAAAATAAAATCTGACCCAGGCAAAAAAGGATAGCAACTAGTGTTAATTCTATAATTCTCCTTCTAGTTAATCATAATTTAATACCTCAGCATAATATACTTATAAAGACAAATGTGTCTTGTAGTTTTGCCCCTTGCGGCATTCCCCAGCCCTGCAGTTAAAAAAAATATTTTCTCTATTTAAAACAAACATTTCAATGTTATTATTATCATCATCATCATCATCACTATGGTCTTAGTAATTTCAGAGAAAAGAAAATATTTTCCTCTCATTCAGGCCCACACCTGGTGACCAAGGCCCACCCACCCTTATCAGAATCCAATACACAACAATGCTCAAAAGTCCTGATCGAGAAATCAAACGGATGGAAACACAGGAATGACACAAAACAATTACTCAGCAAATTAGTGGTGAGACAAAACGTAGCTTAAAATTTGCGTTTGAACCCGCCCTCAACGAGGGATAAATTACCTTCTACGTTTTCCTGCATACATCTTCACCTGGAGATCATTCACACCCACTGAAACCCGTTAAACCCACAATGCCTCATCAGGAAGTACAGCTTCAAATAGAAGATGGCAAATATCAATGAATTCTACTCTTACACGGAGCTGTGTATTAAATAAAAATAAATAGATATTTAAAAAGGGAGAGAACAGTCCATCTATAATGTTATGGTGTGTCTTTTTTCTTCATTTTTTGTACATTTTCTAAGAAGAATCTGACATAAGAAAAACATTATTTATGCCTTTCCAGATTTTTCCAAAACGTTTTACCTATATCAAGAAGGTCATACAGATATACAGTAAAATAAGAGAAGTCTTTAAAAACTATATGCAAAGGGGATTTAAAAACATAATAAATAAATAAAATACTAATATCATGATGATGGGGTAATTACAACTGAGTAGGTGTGTAACCAGAAAGAGGAGAAAACAGTGAGTTTATAGTACTTGGTTTTTGCATTAAGTTCAATAAGGGACCTCTTGGTAAAAAGTAGGGGGAGGGGTTACGTTAGGTGCTGATGAAGATCCTCCGGTCAGTTGGCTGCGAGTCCAGTAGCTTCAGAAGAGAGCCTGAGGAGCACAACACAGAACAAGAAGCGTTAAATTCCTTCATATTTTATTCTAAATAGTCATTTATTTGAAGTTTCTGCAGGATATCCTCTTTTCACAAGCTGCCCGTTGCAATTTGGCAATAACAAAAGTAGCCCCAACATGATGAAGTGAGAAAAACATTGTTTTATTCCCTTCCTCCAGACATTTTTATCCCGTCCAAATGGGACCTTCCGCCCGTCCTCGCTAATGCTCTGGCAATAATAAACACATTCAATATTTCCACCCGTGATTAACCAATAACACCTACATTTTAAAGCCCCTTTCATACAGATTAGTGCAATTTAGAGAGATTTAAAAAAATGGCATGCAAGACAGAAAACAACAATACAAGTGTTATGTTAACATTTTAAAATAAGATATAAAAAAATGATGATATAAAAAGATGTGATTATTGATTACTAGGGTTTCAAAGGGCGGAACATTTCCATAGGAAGTTAAGCTGGGGAATTTTGGAAATATTCTATATTGGAAACTTTCCATGGGAACTAACTGGGAATTGAGGGGAATGTAATCGAATTGCATCATATCCAAGCATAAATATAAACATTTTGTTTTGTCATAAGAAAACATCCATGCAAAATGATACAATTAAAAAACATGACATTTCAACAGATGTATTTGTAAGTAGAACAGAACAAGTTTGAATTATTTTATCAAACAATCATTTGTTTCATTGAAGAACAAAAACATGAATGTTGAGTTAAATATTACCTCACTCATTCAAAAATGTGCTTTGGGCTCAAAAGTGTGGTCCAGTCTTCTAGAAATCATGTGTGCATGTGATGGAGGAACGCACAGTGCCTCTAGGGGGCGTGGTCTCAATAGCCATGCCGTAAGCAGTGTGCATGTGATTGAGGAATGGCATGGATATTCAAGTGTACTTGAATGGCGTCTGTTTGTTTTTGTCACGATTAAGCTAAAATATACTTTCTCCAACTATATTTAAGTTCCCTTTGAAGAGCCAACCTTCAATTTGGAAAATTCCCAGTTTATTCCCATGGGAAGTTTTCATCTTTGAAAATGGCCAGAATTTTGCAACCCCTATTGATTACACATCGGAAAGGCGAGTTGTTACAAAGTGTAATCTCAGTTTCTTCTTGGTTATACCCCCAGTAAAACATGTTTACGTTTGATACACAGTCTGCCTGTTTCTGTATTCGTGCTGCTCTGTGAGGAGGTGTTGCCGTCGCATAACGCCTCTTACCTGGCATTGATCAGGTACTCGGCCAGGCTGATGCTGGCGTGGGAGCCGGTGATGGTGACCTGCCTGTCAGCGGAGCCCTCCACGGGATTGGCAATCTTGATCTGAGCCCCTGACATCTGACGGATCTCATTGATCTTTGCGCCCTGACGGCCAATAATGCAGCCAATGAGCTGAGGGAGAAGAAAAACATAGGAACAATAAGCACTTTTAAAAAAGAGGAACGATACAAAACAAGCTACTTAAAAGTGGCGCCATGTTTTTCTGCAAAACGAGTAAATGATGAGATGAATGCGACTTACATCGTTTGGAATGGTCAGCTCATGAGAGCCAGTTTGGGCAGAGGCGTCCATCCCAGCTGAAGAAATGCAAAGAAAGTGTTGACTGGGTGGATGGTTACAAATCTATATTAATCCAGTTTCCTCTTTCAATCTGTCTACCTACCCTGGAAGCCCTGGTTGCTATGTGCAATGGGGAAGGGGCTCTGCTGCATGGCCAGCTGGTGAAGTTTGGTGAGCTGCGGAAGCAAAGGAGGGGAGGACACGGAGAGCAAACAAAAACGAAACATGAGCGACAATCAAGAAGTGATTACAAAGTAGAAATCTTGAAATTAAGTGGTTGTAGTGAGGATGAGAAGAAATATGAAATGGAACATGGAGCTCATGATTTAGCCTAAAAGGGTAAACAAAGGTTTTGTTGTTAAAAAGTTAAATAATGTTTGAAATTGTTAAAATGGGTATCAGGCAATGGGAGTTGGGAAATGAAGAGTCAGTGGGATGAAGTAAGAAGGTGGCATGGCTCCCGAGGACCGAAGATTCAAATATATTGGATCACTTACAGAGGGCCCTTCACTTACATCAGGCTGAGGAATGGCGTGCTGCCCTTGGACAGCGTATGCCTGCAAGGAGAGAACAGCTCTTAGGAGGGTGTGGCAGTGTCACAGTGTGCTCAAATATCCATCAGTCCTCTGTCCTTGGTGTGCTACAAGAACAGAGCCAGGTATGCTACGGACAGTGCATGAACTGGGTATATGCAGGAATCCTGAAGTCAAAAGTAATACCTTTGAAGATCTTTTTTAAGACCCTTTCCATACATTTTAAGACCTCATCGCCACTTGGAGTTTTAACCGGTTACCTTGGCGACACACTTTACCTCACATTTACTATAAACAGTATTGATTGTCATTCCTCCTTATCTTCCAACCATTTGGACGCAGACTTGCATTTCCCCAAAACGATGTTGTTTAACAACCGGCGTAAACGGACCTTCGCACGCTCAAGCAGTGAGCGTGCGATGTCCTGTTCAGATGACGTCAAACCCAACGGGATGCCATAAATAAACTACACACTATACACCTACGCAATGATTACATTCAGGCAGACTGTAGAATACAACCTCTTTGGACAATTTATATACTTATTGAAAACAAGCTACAAAATGTAATACCTTGGAAAATGCCCTTTAATACTTTTTAATAGCCTTCATTTTCGCTAAATTGATTTATCGACTTTTAATACTTTTTAAGACCCCGCGGACACCCTGATAAAACACTATGATGATAGCTTGAGGATAATCAAATTTCTCCGACCAGAAGTGCTTCAGTAAAAGGTGAGAATATTTCCCCGAAACAGCAGACACTACAGGGACAAACATGGCACACACAACAGATGTAGAGTACAAACAAAGAAGTGTTGTTTACCTGACCACCTGCAAAGATGACAGGAGAGCCTGAGGGTTTGGGTCTGTACGGGATGGTCACTCCCTTTGGGGGAGACTAAGAACACAGAAATATCACCATTAACTATTGAAGTCACATCAAAGGTACCACAGAATATAATAAACCATCAGAAGTAAGACACTCAAGCACTTTCAAGGTACCGAAACAACAAACACTCCAGAAGCTCAAATCTAAAAATTGTAACTACAGATGTAACTGGGAAAAACCTGTTTCTTTTAGTCATTGTACATTTTCACTTATTTACACAGCTATTTATAGCAACGGATTGACGGGTGTGATCATGATTATTTAATGATTAGCTAGCTCTGTGTCTGGTGTGAGACGTGAGGAGATTTCATCTATTAAAAGAGTCTCTTATGTAAGTGGTTGCGTATATGAAACACCAGATTGTGTGGGAAATCAAGTATTGTTCCAAGTGGGACATTTGATTTGCAGGCAAATTCATTTGACTTTCATGTTGGGGAGGAATTCAGTTTATTGCATTTTGGCTTCATTGGATAAAACAGATATATTTAAAAGTAGTTGGCAT